GGGTTCAGTCTTTGCAATCCTCGATAGAAACACCGAGATCAATCCAGATAATTCATCAGCAATAGATGCAACGAGAACACAAATAAGGGGACGTGTGGAGCTGAAAAGAGTATTCTTTGCTTATCCATCAAGACCAGATCAGCTGATTTTCAGAGGATTAAGCCTCAAGATAAGTGCAGGAACTACAGTGGCATTAGTTGGACAGAGTGGTTGTGGAAAATCAACGATAATTGGGCTTATTGAAAGATTTTATGATCCAGATAAAGGATCAGTCTATATCGACGAAAGGGATGTTAAAGACTACAACTTGAGATCCCTGAGGCAAAGTATTGCATTAGTTAGCCAAGAACCAACTCTCTTTGCAGGAACTATCTACGAGAACATTGCATATGGAAAAGAGAACGCCAGCGAATCTGAGATAATAAATGCTGCTGTGCTTGCTAATGCTCATGAATTTATAAGGTCAGATATACATTCATCGCCAATTTATTTGAAGTTCTTCCATAATAAATGTCATTTGCTACAGAAAACTGTTGCACGAACTTTAAATTTACCATAATATAACACCTGAGCTTAACTCAACCCCAAAAGTTAGTTAATGAGTGAGACTTTCCCAAGTTCATATAAGCAGATCACCGGTCCATTCCCCACCAATGTGGCACTCTAACACGTTCTTCACGCCCAAGCCCAACTAGAGCGTGATCAGGGATGGACCTGGCTCTAATACTATGCAATTGAATGGAGTTAGTTGTTGTCTTATTCCAATAGGTAAGCAATGTATAAATACAGCACGTTAGTGCTAACTTAGGAAAGAAAAATAAATAAGGATCACTACGAGTGTGCTGCGTAACTATATCTATGTAACAACCAATAACTAAATTACTTTGTAATGCAGTGGGATGAATGATGGATATGAAACTCAATGTGGACAAAGAGGAGTGCAACTATCAGGAGGTCAGAAACAAAGAATAGCCATTGCCCGAGCAATACTCAAGAGCCCGAAAATCCTGTTGTTAGATGAAGCAACTAGTGCTCTTGACACTGTGTCTGAAAGCGCGGTCCAAGAAGCACTAGAGAAAATGATGGTTGAACGAACATGCATTGTCGTGGCTCATCGTCTATCAACAATACAGAAAGCTAGTTCCATTGCTGTTATACAAGATGGAATAGCTGCAGAACAAGGCTCACATTCTGATCTACTTTCTATAGGAAAATATGGTTCATATTATTCTTTGGTAAAGTTACAAGGGGGAAACTCTCCTTACACGTAAACTTAGAAAAAATAACTTGTCTTGTGCTACATTTGACATCATTTTTGTAAATTGAGATATGGTATCCGAACCGTTCTTTCACGTTTTCAACGATATGACATTTTTTTAAAAAAGACAAAATATTTATTTTTTCTTGATATTATAAAAGTGATAAATGAAATAAATAAATATATATTTAAAATAGTGGAAAAATAAAATTTAAGAGAAGGGGTAATATAGTAATTTCAACAATAAATGAGTAGACACAGAATTTTACTCATAAAAAAGCTATGCGCAAACTTGTTTTATACCTTATCTTATTTGTTCTTTCTATTTAGATAACACTGAAACGTTTCTCACGTTTTCAAGAACAAGACGTTTTCATAAAATATAAATTATTTATCTTTTCTTGATATTATAAAAGTAAGAAATGAAATAAATAAATAAATATTTAAAATAGTGGGGGGAAAATCAAAGAGAAGGGGTAATATAATAATTGCAACAATAAATGAGATGACACGAAATTTTACTCATAAAACGCAAGGGACAAACACGTTTTATGATTTATCTTATGAGTTCTTTCTATTTAGGTATCTCTGAAGTGTTTTTTCACGTTTTTAACGACATAACCTTTTTTTAAAAGATAAAATATTTATCTTTTCTTGATATTATAAAATTAATAAATGATATAAATAAAATATATCTAAAATAGTCGAAATATAATGATTTTTTTTAAAAGATAAATATTTATCTTTTCTTTATATTATGAAAGTAAGAAATGAAATAAATAAATATATATCTAAAATGGTAGGAAAATAAAATAGAAGAGAAGAGGTAAATGGGTGACACAAAATTTTACTCATATAGTTTTATGCTTTATCTTATCCTCTTTATATCTCTGAAGCGTGTTTTCACGTTTTCAACGACATGACGTTATTTTTAAGATAAAATATTTCTTTTTTCTTGATATTATTAAAGTAATAAGTGAAATAAATAAATATATATCTAAAATAGTGAAAAAATAAAATTAAAGAGAAGGGGCAATATAGTAATTTCAATAATAAATGAGATGACACAGAAGCTTACTCATAAAACGCATTTGACAAAATAAAATTGATGAGAAAGGGTAATATAGTAATTGCAACAATAAATGAGATGACACGGAATTTTACTCATAAAACGCAAGGGACAAACACGTTTTATGATTTATCCTATGAGTTCTTTCTATTTAGGTATCTCTGAAGCGTTTTTTCAGGTTTTCAATGACCTGGCCTTTTTTAAAAAGATAAAATATTTATTTTTCTTGATATTATAAAAGTAATAAGTGAAATAACTAAATAGATATTTAAAATAGTGAAAAATAAAATAGAAGAGAAGGTGTAATATAGTAATTTCAATAATAAATAATTAGACACAGAATTTTATTCATAAAACGCAATTGAAAAACTTGTTTTATGGTTTATCTTATCTGTTCTTTCTATTTAGATATTTTTGAAGCATTTTTTCACGTTTTCAATGACATTACTTTTTTTTAAAAGATAAATATTTATCTTTTCTTTACATTATAAAAAGTAAGAAATGAAATAAATATATATATATAATATATATATATATAGTAGGAAAATAAAATTAAAGAAAAGGGGTAATATAGTAATTTTAACAATAAATGAGATGATACAAAATTTTACGTGACGAGATTAAAAAACTTTAATTGCTTTTTAAATTATTTTTTATATGATGAGTTTAAGATATTTTTGACTGATTTAATATTGAATTTGATTATTGCGTTAATGTTTAATTATTCTAAAGAATAGTTCAACAATAATTAAGAAAATGTATTAATTTGTATATATCAAAGTTATCGATTGCTTTATCATCAACAACTTACAAAGACACCACCTTGAAATCCGTGCCCACATTGAACGGATATGAATTTTTCTAAACTTTTATTTAATAAAAAGACACCACTAACAAGTTACAATAAAAAAGAATCTTTCATTTTTTTTAAAAAAAATTATATTAAAAATAAAAAAATATTTTCGATAAAAAAAATTATTTAATATTTAATATCTATAAAATTATTTTAAATTTATATTTTTATAATTCAATTAAAAAAATATTTTCTATTCAATAATCGTATCCAGTGCACCATATTTTTTGGCGATTACCACTCATATTATTGTGTTTAGTAGATATTTTAGGTGCATAATTGATCTCTTCTTTAAAACTAGGGGCACTTATTATTATACATCCACTTGACACTTGCTTTAGTTGGCTATTTTTTTTATTTTTTATTTTTTGTCAACTACCCCAATTTAAATTTTATTTGATTAAGATATTTTTATGGACCTACTTTATAATTAAAAATATTTTCTATTTGAAAAGGAAGGACAAAAATCATACAATTTTGGTCCAACTACTCCTCTCTTTTTTTTTTTGGCTTTATAAAAAAGGAAAGTGATTAGTAATAAATAATTAAATAATGAAAAAAGGAGGAAATAAAATTTTCGAATTAAAATGTAAAAGAGAAAAAGGAGAGGGAGTAATCATTGTTTAACTTTATCTAAAGTACCCCAATTCGATTTTACATGTATATCAAATTATACAAATATTTTATTAAAATATAGATATTGAATAATTTTATTATTCTTGAACATGTAAATAAAAATTATCTATTATTTCAATTTTTATATAAACTATTATTTGAAATCTCAATTATGATTTTTTAATATCACTTTCTATCCATGATAATTTCAGCTTAAAAAGTTTTGTCAATAATTACATTAATTTTGTTGATGAGGATGACAAGATTTCGGTCATCAATTACATATACACAAATTGAAATAGTAAGCAACTTGATTTTTTTTCTCATAATGATAATGACAAAGACACGAAAAGACAATTCAATATTCACATTGATTTATTTTTATATGATAATAATTACAATAATAATATTCTTATAAAGAAAGAGATCAATTTTGACTGATCCAAAAATTTATTTATTTTTACTATACCAACGTCACTAATTATATCTAATAATGTAAAACAATTCAATCTTACTTAAATATTAATTTGAAATAAACTATTTTTATAACGAAATTACTAAATTTATCCAATAACAAAAAGGTCTTAAGAAGACATAAATTCTTTTTTTGTAATGCTCAAATAAATTTGAGTAAAAAAGAATGAAATTGAGTGATTTTTTTTTAATCATAAGAAAATAAATAATTAATTTCAATATAATAAAACAGTAATATAATTTCATAAATGGAATTCAATACTTACCTCTTAGATATAAAAAATAAATATAAAAATAAAGTGTTTCTAATAAACCCGCAATTTAAATAAAATATTTAATATTTTCAATCAAATTTAAATAATTATATTAAAATATCGTAGAAAAAGAGCAATATATAATACAAGAAAGAAGATTTAAGTACAATTATCAACTATTATTATACTCTAATTTTGTTATATTTAATTTCTTACGGTTAAGGTCATGTTCACGATAAACTCAAAATACGCTGTATGAGGACATATTTTAAATTTTAACCAATAATAAAACTAAGTTATTTTTAGTATATTTTTTTGTTTAACGTGACTTAATTTTTCTTTTCTAGAGGAGCGTGTAAGTGTCAACCTCATTCTCCTAATTTTCCCAACCACATAAAAAAAAAATAAAGGTAGCTTTTGCGTGTTGATTTGGTACACTACACGTCATTATTACACGTGTTTTCGTATGATTGGTTAATCCATGAGGCGGTTTCCTCTAGAGTCGGCCATACCATCTATAAAATAAAGCTTTCTGCAGCTCATTTTTTCATCTTCTATCTGATTTCTATTATAATTTCTCTGAATTGCCTTCAAATTTCTCTTTCAAGGTTAGAATTTTTCTCTATTTTTTGGTTTTTGTTTGTTTAGATTCTGAGTTTAGTTAATCAGGTGCTGTTAAAGCCCTAAATTTTGAGTTTTTTTCGGTTGTTTTGATGGAAAATACCTAACAATTGAGTTTTTTCATGTTGTTTTGTCGGAGAATGCCTACAATTGGAGTTCCTTTCGTTGTTTTGATGAGAAAGCCCCTAATTTGAGTGTTTTTCCGTCGATTTGATTTTAAAGGTTTATATTCGAGTTTTTTTCGTCGGTTTAATGAGAAGGCCTAAAATAGGAGTTTTTCTGGTTGATTTGACTAAAAAAGCCATGGAATTTTGTGTTTTTGATGTCGCTTTGGTTCTCAAGGCCTAAGATCTGAGTTTCTCCGGTTGTTTTGATGAAAAAGCCCTAAAATTGGAGTTTTTATCTTGTGTTTTAGGTTGTTTTAATCCTTATAATTTGAGTTTTTTCGTTGTTCTGATTGTTGTTTTTATGAATTTTGCAGATGCAGATCTTTGTGAAAACTCTCACCGGAAAGACTATCACCCTAGAGGTGGAAAGTTCTGATACAATCGACAACGTTAAGGCTAAGATCCAGGATAAGGAAGGAATTCCCCCGGATCAGCAAAGGCTTATCTTCGCTGGAAAGCAGTTGGAGGACGGACGTACTCTAGCTGATTACAACATCCAGAAGGAGTCCACCCTCCATTTGGTGCTCCGTCTACGTGGTGGTATGCAGATCTTCGTGAAGACTCTCACGGGTAAGACGATTACCCTTGAGGTCGAAAGCTCAGACACCATTGACAACGTCAAGGCTAAGATCCAGGATAAGGAAGGCATTCCCCCAGACCAGCAGAGGTTGATCTTTGCAGGAAAGCAGTTGGAAGATGGCCGCACCCTAGCTGACTACAACATCCAGAAGGAGTCCACCCTCCATTTGGTGCTCCGTCTCCGTGGTGGTATGCAGATCTTCGTTAAGACTCTTACCGGAAAGACCATCACTTTGGAGGTGGAAAGCTCCGACACCATTGACAACGTGAAGGCTAAGATCCAGGATAAGGAAGGGATCCCCCCAGACCAGCAGAGGTTGATCTTCGCTGGAAAGCAGCTCGAGGATGGTCGCACCCTGGCTGACTACAACATCCAGAAGGAGTCTACCCTCCATCTTGTCCTCCGTCTCCGTGGTGGTATGCAGATTTTTGTTAAGACCCTCACCGGAAAGACCATCACTTTGGAGGTGGAAAGCTCCGACACCATTGATAATGTTAAGGCTAAGATCCAGGACAAGGAGGGAATTCCTTCAGACCAGCAGAGGTTGATTTTCGCTGGTAAGCAGCTCGAGGACGGCCGCACCCTTGCCGACTACAACATCCAGAAGGAGTCGACCCTTCACCTTGTCCTCCGTCTACGTGGTGGTATGCAAATCTTTGTGAAGACCCTTACCGGGAAAACCATCACCCTGGAGGTTGAGAGCTCCGACACCATTGACAATGTCAAGGCCAAGATCCAAGACAAGGAGGGTATTCCCCCAGACCAGCAGAGGTTGATTTTTGCTGGCAAGCAGCTCGAGGATGGCCGCACTTTGGCGGACTATAACATCCAAAAGGAGTCGACCCTGCACTTGGTGCTTAGGCTGAGGGGAGGAATGCAGATCTTTGTGAAGACCTTGACCGGGAAGACCATCACTTTGGAGGTGGAGAGTTCTGACACCATCGACAATGTGAAAGCTAAGATTCAGGACAAGGAGGGGATCCCACCAGACCAGCAGAGGTTGATTTTCGCTGGTAAGCAGCTTGAGGATGGCCGCACCCTTGCTGACTACAATATCCAGAAGGAGTCCACCCTGCACCTTGTCCTCCGTCTCCGTGGTGGTTTTTAAGTTGTGGTTGTCTGGTTGCGTCTGTTGCCCGTTGTCTGTTGCCCATTGTGGTGGTTGTGTTTGTATGATGGTCGTTAAGGATCATCAATGTGTTTTCGCTTTTTGTTCCATTCTGTTTCTCATTTGTGAATAATAATGGTATCTTTATGAATATGCAGTTTGTGGTTTCTTTTCTGATTGCAGTTCTGAGCATTTTGTTTTTGCTTCCGTTTACTATACCACTTACAGTTTGCACTAATTTAGTTGATATGCGAGCCATCTGATGTTTGATGATTCAAATGGCGTTTATGTAACTCGTACCCGAGTGGATGGAGAAGAGCTCCATTGCCGGTTTGTTTCATGGGTGGCGGAGGGCAACTCCTGGGAAGGAACAAAAGAAAAACCGTGATACGAGTTCATGGGTGAGAGCTCCAGCTTGATCCCTTCTCTGTCGATCAAATTTGAATTTTTGGATCACGGCAGGCTCACAAGATAATCCAAAGTAAAACATAATGAATAGTACTTCTCAATGATCACTTATTTTTAGCAAATCAGCAATTGTGCATGTCAAATGATTTCGGTGTAAGAGAAAGAGTTGATGAATCAAAATATCTGTAGCTGGATCAAGAATCTGAGGCAGTTGTATGTATCAATGATCTTTCCGCTACAATGATGTTAGCTATCCGAGTCAAATTGTTGTAGAATTGCATACTTCGGCATCACATTCTGGATGACATAATAAATAGGAAGTCTTCAGATCCCTAAAAAATTGAGAGCTAATAACATTAGTCCTAGATGTAACTGGGTGACAACCAAGAAAGAGACATGCAAATACTACTTTTGTTTGAAGGAGCATCCCTGGTTTGACATATTTTTTCTGAATATCAAACTTTGAAACTCTACCTAGTCTAATGTCTAACGACAGATCTTACTGGTTTAACTGCAGTGATATCTACTATCTTTTGGAATGTTTTCTCCTTCAGTTATACATCAAGTTCCAAGATGCAGGTGTGCTTGATTGATGTACATGGCTGTGAGAAGTGCATCCTGATGTTCAGATGATGGTTCATTCTAATGTCTTTTCCTTCAATCAGTTTTCTCAGTCTGACTTAGCTTGTTTCATCTGCATGTTTGAATGTTCGTTTACTCATAGTAATTGCATTTTTGTAGCAGAACATATCATTGGTCATGGTTTCAACTGTGCGCGAGTCTTATGCTTATTCAAACTAGGAAAGCCTCCGTCTAGAGGGTACACGAGTTGTTGCTCTGTGTGCGTCAGTCCATAGTATTAATCTTGCTAGTTGTAGTATATTGTTTATGTGGACTCGGAATTCATCATATGCTCCTTCTTTGCATCAAGTAAGGCAAGGTAATGTATAGAAGCTTTTTAACTCTTTCATGGAAGCTGGCCTTTGCCAGCATACCATCCAGAAGATATCAACCCTGCATCTTGGCTGCCGTCTCCATAGTGATTTTTTGAACTGTTGCTGGTTGTAGATATCTTCTTGTGCCAGTCCCTTCTGTCCATCGTTTTGTGTGTTGCTTCATGATCTGCCCTGTCCAATCAAAACCTCATGTATTTTCTCATGTTTCTGTTCATTACAACTTGTGTGATTCTGTGTTGTGGACAAGCAAAACGATGCCAGACAACTTATGATTTTGTGCGTGTGTGGTTTCAATCAGGTAAGCAGAAGACGGTAACCAGACAATTTTTTCTTGGGATATAGGAGTTAATGCCCGTTACTTTTCGGACAACCTTGATCCATAAGAACTACCAAATCAAAATTTCTGAATCATGACAAGAAATATATTCTAGCAGAGCATGACTCTGATGGTTGTTATCCCAGTATGAAGTTGATGCCACACTGTTATTCATGATTGGACTGGATCTTGCTAGGAAGCAAAGTTCTCTTCAATTATTCATGTAGTGTTTATCAATCTGTTGAGGTGCAGCATACCAGGGTCTTCCCTTACAGTTGGAGACGGACAAGTTAATTGTTAACGGAGTGCTACTTTTCATGGTAGAATGTTGGACCGTTCTTTTTCCCTATCCTTCTTAGTTATGTTCCATGAAACAATGCTGTGTGAACTGAAACTGTGAACTGAAACCAACTCCAGATTACTGTTCTCTTCCCGTATTTCTCCTTTCAAGACTTGTTTTCGGTCTGACATCACTATTCAGTATAGTGTCCTAATACTTGCTCAACGATTCCTCTAATTTTTTTTTTCATTTAGGAGAGAAGAAGACTACATGGACAATGATGAGACAACTGGAATGATTGATAGCTCTATGTACCTCTGTTCTCTTCTTTGGTATCAACTCCTGGACTTGGAATATTTTGTGAACTCAGCAGTACATGATGAGTGGATGAATTTATGATCAATTTGTTACAAGGCAGACTACTGACTAGAAGTTCAACAAGAGAAGCATAAAAAACTTATGGTTTTCTAGTGACAAGTAAGAGGCAATGTAGTTATGAACACCTCATCCAATTTTCTTTTGGTACATTTCAGGCAACATGGATGGAACGGAAATTACCAAATGAAGAAGTTCTGAATATATTTGAGCAGAGTCTGATGCGGATGTAGTTATCCTAGTATGAAGATGATGGACATTTGTGCCCGGATTAGAGTGTACTAGTACTGCTGGATCAAACTAGAGAGATGCTAATTAATATCTATCATGGAGTGCTTAATTGCCTATAGTGTATTGAGGTTGTCCCTATGATCTTACCTGTCTCTCTACTTTAAGTAGCGGTTCACGTTTTTCATGAATATCAGTGTTTTATTGGCAAGAATTATAAGTTCATTTTTAGTTGCATTAGCAGAAGACATTGTGTAGATTGTTTTCACCTGAGAGCTCAACTCAACCCGTTCCTGTATGGGTGCCACTTCTTTTTTCTCCACATGGAGTAGAGCAGAAGTATGTTGACAATGATTAGGCAATTGGAATAAAGAGGACAACACTATGTACATCTATTTCCTTCTTTGGTATCAACTCTACTGGGCTTCTGGTAGTCGCGCTTGCTACATTCCTGGCTTTGTTATTGATTCAATAATGTTGTGGAGATCCCAGCCTCTGGTAGTCGTGCTAGGTACTATTTCAATTCGTTGATCTGTTTTTTCACTTAAGATATTTCACATTGTCAAGTACATGAAAACTGCATGAATTTAATTTGTGATCAATTGCCACAAGGCAGACTTTAGGGACTGGATGTACAATCAAGGGAAGCATTATTAACTTACTGGCTGGCCTAGTAACAAGAAGTACAGGACCATTTTATACTGTAATTACCACTGCTTATAATTTTCTTTGAGATAGTTGATGCTGCATACGTTTCAGACAACTTTGATCTGCATGGAATCACACAGAAAAATTTCTGAATTATGAAGAGGAATTTGATGTGAACGAGGCTGATAGCTAACTTAATAAGAAGATGATGTTGGATCCAGCTAGGTGAAGCACTACATAGCAACTTTCATATGGCGTGTGTCAGTCTATTGAGGTGCCATCGGGTCTTCCCGGTCTCTCTTCCTTCAGATTGAGGTTAGCCTATTTTATGGATGCCAGTAGCTTTTTGGCAGGAACTTGAGCTAGAATTATGTCTCAGCATTTGGAGATGACTGGTTAAACTGCTTATGCAGTGCTATTTTTTCAATGTAGGACTTTGGTTTGTTCCTTTTGCTCTTATATTTCTACACTAGAGTTTCAAGAACGACATACAGGAGTGTGATGGGATAGATATACACTTCATGGAGTGGAACCAACACATTCTCTTCCCATATTTTTTTCCTTTCACAACTTGCTCTCGCTCTTATGCTGCAATTTCGTATTTTTCCTTAATTTTAATTTCTCAGAATGTGTATTTCTTGCAGAAGGCCTCGTCTGGACTGTTTTACTCCTGTTATGGTTGTGTATATCTTGCAGAAGGCCTCGTCTGGACTGTTTTACGCCTGTTATGGTTACTCAAACAAGGCAACGGTGCCTCCTTTTAACTCAGTCAAATCGTTTTCTGGTTTGCTTTCAATCAGGTGAGCAGAGAACTGTTGACAATGGAGAGAGACTCGGAGAAACGAGAGAGGGCCATCTTAAGATTTGATTCAGTAACGTTGTGGAGCTCCCAGGTTGTATCTTCAAGACTCAAGCTCTCGACTATTCAAATCTTTGATCTATGTTCCGTGTAGGATATTATGCAGACTTCGGATATATGTAGATTTACAGGAATCTCTAATCAATCACAGTGAATTGTGTCGAGGCAGACTTTACAGACTGAAAGCCTGACAAGAGAAAAGCAGACTCACTAGTCTTCCAGTGACAGTTTGAAGGCTATTTGATAACGAGAACTGCTTGCCTTTTAGACAACCTTGATCGTAAATCAAAATTTCTGGATCTTGACGAGGTATTTGAGCAGAATGAAGCTCTGATGGTACTTATCCCAGTATGAAGCTGAGGTCCTCGATCCAGCTAGGGAAAGATACTGTTAGCAACTATTCATGGTATGTGTTCACAACTCGAGTCCCCCCATCTCTTTTCGAGGCACATTGGACCGCAGAAACTTAAGCTCTATATAATATCTCTCTGTTAAACAATTTAGAGACAACTGGTTCACTGCTAACATCACTAGTTGTCAAAGGCATAACTTTGGATTGGTCTTCTTTTCATATCCTTGAAAAAACTAGTTTCAAGAACCACATACACCAGTTATAAAATCAATAGTTTATCATTCTTTTTCTTTGAAGTCTAGTTTTCTATCTGACATTGCTCTCACCACATTTTTTCTATGTTGATTCTCATCTATAATTGTATGTCTCTTGCAGGCATCCTATCTTGTTTTACATATGTTATGGTTATATATCTAATAAATCAAAGGCAATCGCTACCTCCTAAAACTCATTCAAGTTGTGATATTAGTTTTATTAGCTGTACTTGAAGTTGATGAATTGTGAATTGTAACTTCAAATCCCTCTTTAGATGTTGTGAATGCTTATCTATATATATATAGATGGGCGGCACCAAGATTTTAACCTTTTTCGGTTCTAAATTTTTGAACGGGCTACTTCAAATGTTAATAACTGAGTTCTAAATTTAATATTTATATATATTTAATAAATTTTTTAATGTAAATGCATTATTAAGCTAAAGCTAATGGATTTGACTAATTTTAAGCTCGAACTTTTAGAAGTTCTAGCTCCGCTCT